CTGTTGTTCTAGTCACATCCCAACAGACTCCATACACTCCCCACACTATCGACAATTGACTTATGCTCCGTGGTAATGTGCTGGCATGTCGTTATCCATACATACGTACACATACCCACATGCACACACAAAATGAACAGACAGACAGAAAGACAGACATACGATCCGAATCTCTCAATTCTCTCCGCATCTGCAGATAACACAGAGAATGGCGCAGAAAGGAAGTCTAGAACTATACTTGCCATGACTAGTAATACCAGCCAGCACATCACCTGACCACACGCACTGCACACGACATCGTCCATGCATGATGGATTGCTCAGGCAGACAAGCTACCTACCTACCTACCTACTTTCCTGGCATTTACCAAAATAGGTAAGTTAGAAGATAGGCAGGCAGGTTGACAGGCTACAGTATGTAGATGAGAGTAGTAGTAGGGACTGACTACATGGCATGAAGGCATGAAGCATTGCATGCACAGCAGCGGCATCAACGGCCAGCCAAGATCGGAAAGTGACAGACAAGCAAGCAAACAGACAAACAACATCCACCCTGCCTACAGTACAGAACAATAGCAAGCAAGCAAGCAAACACAAATTTCCGTTTCGAATATGCTGCCGAGTTTTTCATCCTGTTATAGCAGCACTTATTGTTGAATATGTCTGTCTCCACTACTAACATGTATAAATACACTCTATCATCACATAGATAGCTGCACTGATAACTTAATTCACCGTCATATAGATTCTCTAGAAGCCTGGCACTTACTACCCTCCGCCCTGCAAGATGATATCTCAGGATTTTGCAACTCCAAGTCCATAATCCATGGCATTCCCATTGTGGCAGGCAGCTGTAGCCAAGACGGACTGGCCCGAGTCGGGCATGTCGGGCACTCGCGCGTGCGCATGCAGGATTGATTGATTGATTGAATGATTCATGGGTGTACAGGGTATGTGGGATTGTCTAGAGGGTAGTCTATGCATGTAGCTTACTTCGGAAGGGTATGATACTAATAGTATAATCGGGTATGTGTATGTGTATGTAGTCGCTCAAGATCTGACTTTCCACGAGATAATAAGGAAAAGGAAAGCAAATGCGAGATCGAATCACAAGGGAAAAATGAAAACTAAGGAGATAGATCGATCGATCAAGGTATCATCCGGATGAACGAGGGAAATGAAGATGGAAAAGAAGTAGGTATAGTAAGTAGTCAAGGTAAAATGGAATGGTCAATTTTCATCCACCGGTCCATAATTGTTGTGATGACAGATCCTTCATCTGCATCTCTCTCTCTCTCCAACTATTAAATAACAAAAATTCATATCTGTTTGGTATTTTCTCATTTGCATTTTCCTCCCCAGACCACACAGATTTTTTTGGTCGGTTTTGACATTGTTCTTTTCTGCTTTTTTTGGGGGACCTCATTCCACCAGGAAGAAAAGAGATACCGTGCTCGGATAGAAAACACGGTGCAGGGTCTTGTATGCGACCTGCGTGTATAGAAGGAAACATGGGGTCAGAGGTTAAGCCACATTAATGTTCTTTATGTAGGGGTGTTGTGAAGGGGACAAGGTTGATGAATGTTGTGAAAGGGTAGATAGGGAAAAAAGGGGAGAACTAGAAAGGGAAAGTTAAAACGAAACACCCAGCTTGGTCATCGCAATCCACTAAAGGAAGCGTAGGAATGTGTGACGCTACCCATGGGCTGTGATGGAAAACGAAAACATAAATGCAAATGTACTCGAACGGCTCGCGCTTGCAATGCTAGTTGTAGAAGAAGAGAAATAACAAGCTGAATGCAACGGGGGGTAGTCCCGAGAGATGGTATGCGGAAGACAAGGAGATGGGGTATGCAATTTTTAGACAAAGAAACAAAGACGGAGATAGAACGAAATTGGTGTCGAAGTAGAACCAGGTCTGTATAGGTTCTGGTTCCAACCAGATCGGCAGTTATGGCACAAGATGCAAAAATACATCGTATTCAGGTATCAAGCAATATGTTGGTATATTATTGATGAGCAGCTTCTTCAACCCTCGTGTCGAGTTCAGTAACCAGTGCTGAATGACATGTTGGGCTGGAGGAACTGTTGTTGGTACGTGGTGTCCTGCGAATACGTGTGAGAGCTCACGTACTGCATACTGGGCGGAGGTGTCGGCGATGGCGAGCAAGCACTAGCTCCTGCTGTGCCTTTGGCAAAGGTGGGATTACCACCATTGGCAAAAGCCTCGTTCTCCGGTGTGATTGGCGGTGTGATATAACCGTGCGCCATTGCCGATGATTGGGTCGCCTTCTGCGGTGTAGCAAGCCCAATCTCGCCTTCGTATGGCTTGGGCTCGGGTTGGACAACGTCCGTTTGCGGGCTGGGGGGCGTGTAGCTTGCGATCGAAGCTTGACGGGCAAGGAATTGTTCCAGCACCTTGGACACACGGGAGTAGTGAGCCGAGGAATACTTTCTGGAAAGTACCTGGGAGGGTTGGTGAAGCTGCTGCGACAGACCCACGAGCGTCATCGAGTCGTACTGGGACGCCCATTCTGTGTGACGAGGCTGAGTCCGGTTGAGGATGCAGCGCGCCAGAGCCAACGAGGCCCGGGCGAGATCCGACGATGGCTTGGACACGAATTCCCGATGGAACAGCGAGATCTCCGAGATGTACAATGCTAGATGCTCGACCTCGGCATCATACGGGCAATCCATCACGGCCATCTGCAAGAAGCTATCGACAGTCGGGTGTCCAATGGTCCACCCCAGTGTTTGCAGCACATGCCACTCCATTTGGATGAACATGTCGTCGTCGTATAGCGAGCAGCACATGGACTTGAGTTCCTTGATGGTAGGCACGCGGTCCTTCTTGTCGCCATACTTGGCTGCGATGAGCAAGGCAGCACATCCAACAAGTTGATAGTGTCTCTTGTAAACAACACGCTTGGAGCAGTAACGGTCAAGAAGGTTGATGGTGAGGAAGAGGGTCGATGGCAAGAGCTGGAATGCTGTGTGGGCTTCAATCAAGAAGTCGAGCAGGTATGGACGCATGAACCACTGAATCTCAGTCTGGATATCGATTGACTCGACGTCCGGAAGGGTGGCAGCATCCATGTCCAGCATGTGCGCCAGAACGTCATCACGGAATTCCTCGCTGGTAATCTTTGACAGCTGTTCCGCCATGGCGTACTGACGCTCGCGAGCCATCAACTTGGCGTGTTCTTTCGGATCCATACGGGGGGCAGGGAACTCGTCGTAGGACTCGACGAAGAAAGTATCGCAGGGCTGGTAGCTCGATGTGGGGCGCTTGTGGTAGGCCATGATGTCGGTCTGGTAATAACGTCGACCCAAAGAGTATTCAAAGAGTGGACCTGATAACTGTGTCGATCAAGAAACGACGGAGGTGAGAGAGTGACAGTCGTCGGATTAGGGGATTAATGAGTGGAATTAGTTAGGAAATATTAAAATCAAAGGCCACAAGAGACGATAGCCTGGTATTGAAAAGGGGAAGGATGGGTAGACAGCTGGAGCGGAGCCTTGTGATGGCCGGAGCTAAAGGAAGGTAATTATTAGTAAATCGTAGTATTAAAATTAGAAGATTAAGGAAATCTGTAAACGAGTGTGAAGTGCCAAAGGATGGTAATGTAGATATAGAGGTGAAGGGAAGGATTGAAAGGTGAGAAAGGAAGGCCCAAAGATCGAGGGCGGAAAAGGGGATTCCCTGGGGATAAAGTATACTAACCCAGATTGAAAGCCTTCGGGCAGAGGGCACGATGCAACCCTTACCGTGACGGCGTGTCTGGCATCTAGGCTGGCTAGGAACAGGCAGGAATGATCCGTTGAGATGGTACTCTGTAGGATACCAGTCCGAAAGACGAAGCACGAGTAAACGCCTTCGCCCTAGGAACCGATGCTTGAACTGGCAAGCCTGCGTGTGCTCCGGAATGTGGAAACAGGAGCACAGGCACGAACCCTATGAAGGGGTGGGGAAATCGTCAGGGGGGGGAAAGGATTAAAGTGCAAAGAAAAGAATGACCACCACATACAGTTTGCAATCCAGTGTCTTTCGAACGTCCCTGTACAGGACTGGAATGGTGTTGCGACAGGGGATAAGCGCTTAGAGAGCCAAAATCCACATTAAAGGGAGGGGGCTAAATCGAGGCCAAATTGAGATATTAATGAAGAAAAACCTGTCTGTTGAAGGAGCAAAAAGAAAGGTTAGCCATCATCTAACAACCATCACTCTTCTTTCCTTCAATCGCCAATTGTGACTAAAAGGTAAAAGCTTCTTGGTGGTCTGCCAATGTATGAGGGTCCGGGTCGACCCCGTCAAATATGCACGAGCCGTGCTACGCATTCTTTCTTCAGGGCACATGAGGATCTCCTCCTTCCGATCCACCTCGTTGCTTAAGATAAGGACGATCCTCTCCCTCTGGCAACATGTACTGTCGAATGGAGACAGGCCAAGGCTGAGGGAAAGGACATCCGACCTGCAACATCTGCATTCCCTGCCCGCACCCAACTCAATGAGCCATTGTCCATAACCCCCGACCTATACGCAGCCACTGTCCGAATATCCTTAACCCAGCACTTCCATTGTGACATTGCCGACGTATAATTGCGGTCATCTCAGACTTCAGGTTTCCACGCCTCGAAGGAAATGTGACAGGTCTCGGAGTTCGAAATAAGGAATTGCTGACTTCATTCGAATTGGGCTCATGGGGAACTCGCTCGGCTGGCAGAAAGCTTCACTGACATCCACTGCCATCGGTGCCAGGCAGGTCGAACTATCATCCAGAGTGTCTTCCACTTCCACCCATTCACCCACCCACCCACCCACCACTCAAACCCCGACCATCCAAGCAGGGGGAAAAAGGGGGGGTTGAAGGACAAAGAAAAAGTGTTCTCACCTCCCAAAGGATCACAACCAAGATATAGAAATGTACAGAAAGCGTTGAAAAAAAAAAAGAACCCTTCTCTTTCGCTCTTCTAACCGGCAGGAGCTGAAGTCAGGGGAGTCTATCCGTCGATGTCACGGATAGGGCACCGGTAGTCGGATAGGGGCGGGGGGGAATTCGCCGTTTGAGTTAACAAACGTCGAAAGGGGAGGACGTCGAAGCGAGAGCTGACGGACACGGCTCGACTGGAGAGCTGGTGCAACTGGCTGAAGAAGTGGTCGACTGTTATAGGACAGTCAACGGTCTTTTCTGCCTCGTAGACCAGTCTCAGTTCTCTCCTAAGGAATTGGCGGGTGGTAAGGAAAGGGGGAGGAGGGGAAGAGAAGGAAGGGAGAGGAGGTGAAGATAAGAAGAATGAGGAGGAGAGGAAAGTGAGGAGGAGCTGCTCTCTCTCCAGACGGGTGTAGTAGAAAGAAGAGAAAAAGAGGATTAAAGAGATGGGACGAGGGCCGGAGATAGAAGTCTCGAGAGGATCGCTGCAGGTTAGCTGGCCCACGCTGTATCGTAACCCATGACGCTTTTCCCGTATGAATGGTGGTATTGGGTATCGCGTACCGAGGCTGGAAGGTAAGCGTATGGTTTTGTTTTCGTTTCATCTCGGTTTCCAACGGTATCTGACCAACCAAAATGGGCGGTTGGCTGGCTGGTGTCTCTTCTTTCTTTTACTTCCACCTCCATACGTTTGATCTTTTGGCCTACAGAACCATCAAACTCGTGTTCAAAGGTACGGATAAGATGCTTGTGAAACGTGCTAAAAAGGTCTACAACTCAAGCATGTCCTCCAGGGCCAAAAATACCATCTACTTGTGTTGTGGAACAAGCGGAAGCGCATGAGGAAAGCCCGGGCGCTTTGGTGTATCTTACTGGAAGATACCAGGAGAATGGGAAGAAACTGAGCCCTCACAGACCAGAATCACATCGAGCAATAGACAACTCCTTTTGCAGAACCTCGCATCGGATACACCCTCAACCTAACGCGGCCTGAGCCCCGGAGGAGCGGCCCTTACTGTGAAAAGGGAAAGTCTATTACCCTAGAGGTACATACATACAGGCAAGTACGTAAGGGTATGGATGCGGTACAGCGGTAGAGACGGGAGATACTGGGAGGTACTGGGCTGGGGCGGGTACCTACTAGTGGGAGTTTAGTATACCACCGTATAGTTACGGTCGGCCGTATGCCTTCGTCCTTTGGTTACCTATTCATTCTTCCTTCATTTGGGACCAACTTTCATCCAGAGGGGCACAGGCATCATCACTCTTCTAACACCTTTCAACATTATCTACTACTTTTTTGTTCTTTCTAGGTGGTAGATCCCCTCTCAAACCAGGGAATCGATAAGTCTGGAGAGAGAGAGGTTTTTTCTTTTGACGTTGCAAGTTGCAATGCTAGCTGGAGATTGACTTTCTTTGCTTCTGGGCTGTACCAGACGACTGGCCTCGGTTCACCCGTAGGGGAGACACCTGTTTTTCGATGGCGGCCTTTCGACCCTCTAAACCTGCAAAGTCCCAGCACCAGCGCTCCTTCGGTGGGCTTCGGGGTGGGGTGATCTCCCTCGTCACCGGCCAGTCCTCACCAGCCATTGCCTCCCTGATTCAGGCCAGGAACACCTCCGGTCCTTGGCTCTGTGACCTTTCTTTTTTCTTCTCTTCTCCTCTGCTCTCTCTGGGCCCTTAGGATGCGACAGAGAAGCGTACCGTGTATGTATCTTTATTGGAGCTGCGATTCTCTTGCATTAGGCCTTTCCCTGCTACTCCATAAACTAAACTCTCACTACCTATCTAGTTAGGGTGAGCAGTGTGTCAGTTGCGCTCTAGTCAATTAGTTAGTCTGTAGACAAACCGACTTCAATTGTGGGCTGCGGTCTGCTGCAATGTGACGATTAACTAAACTAGTACGGAGGGCCTACCAAAGTCGTCGTTATCAAGGAATTTTAATCTATTTGTCGTAGTTGAGATAATAATGTGTGATCCCTAATGCGACAATGCTGGACACATTCTCTCCATGGACACAATTGACCCTCCCATTTCACTGAATCCCTCGATCTATCCATCCTATCCTCTTAACTCGTCAGGTCGACTAGGGTCGGGCAACTTTACCTATCCTTCAGCATATTATAAGGACGAATTGCTATTTGACGACTCGCTCGGATTACCCACAAATGCGGAGTAGCCGACTGGGACTTTTTCTTTTTTTTTTTCAGCTGGTGACTGCCCGTAATCATGCTCGATCGAATGGTTCGCATTATTACTACTTTGGCAGGTAGATGTACGTAAGTAAGTATAGTAACCAAAGTATGTAAGTTGTCTTCATACATACAGTAAGTATTAGAAAACCAGAACTCACATCCCCGTACCTTACTACAACATAACAAGTAGTATCTAGTTAGTTCCATAGTAGTGGGAGAGCGGTCGCGTCTCTCCCTCTCTCTCTCATCGACTGCTGACTGGCCCGACCCGCACTGGGCTACGGTACATCGCGTATCCTTCTGCGACCATTCACAACCAGTCGCTACCATGATTGCTCTTACGCCCCTCGCCTGAGGCTTGTTGTTGTACAGCTCGTGATCCATCGACTTTGGCCTCTCCTCCGAACCAAAGAGAAAAAAAAAAATTAACCCTCCTCGTAGTCCGTTGATCTCTTTGTTTCGCACACAACAAGGGGGTTTCTCTCTTCGTTTCGAACCAAAATCAGACGAGAGGTTGTGCTGTTGGATCATATGCAAGATGATCCGCGGGAGAGGGGTAGCCAGAGCCCAGGCCCACGGTACGCAGTTCAACTTGACTCTACTGTTTCAATTCGCCTTTTTTCAACTCTTTGACTGAACTGGACACACATTTGCTTCGTACTGCATCTTGTAGTGTTGCCCGGTTCACACATATCGCTGAACACAAAAGAAACGGTGAGAGAAATTGGATGAGGTCTGCCGTAGTGTGTATCTATCCGGGTACTACACGGTCTCTGCGCAGTAAGGCAACCTTCAGTATTACAGTAGGAAGATGGCCATATACGAATGTTCATCACCCGTTAATATTGGCGATTCCGATTCCCGGCATATAGCACACATTATTCCTTTACTAGAAACTGGGGTGCCATTGATGCAGTACAGCTGCACTGGCGCGAGATGGCCCGAGTAACCCATACCGACGACGCTTTTCTTTGAGTTCCTGTGACGCAGGTATCCTTGCGGGGGTGGCCTCCCGCAACTTACTGTTCATCCAATGGCTCGGAGTAGGCGGTTCGCGGATCTAAGAAGGTGTCATGAATGCGACGTATAGAATCATGACGATTGACAAAGGACGCGATTTGGTGTGAATTCTACGGAGAGCAGAATTGACCCGTGGACATTGCACATTTGGTCGAACCGGCAATCAGTGACATGCAACCTCGTACCTGTCGAAATCTAACAGAGAGGTAACGGGACGTAACCCTGAATGCGTACCTTTCAATCATCTACACCGATAAAGAATGCAAATCTGCTGATTGAAGATATTGTGGTATCGGTTTATGAGCGACTCAAAGTTTGACCTGTGACTGAGAAGTAAAGATATGACCCATGGTAGACCTCAAGAGAGTAAGGGAAGTCTAAATCACAAGGCTGGCTGAATATTCTTCAACGGTCAAAAAGCTAGTTTCATGAAAGAGTGAAGCATCACGGATCTCTGGATACATCCACACCGAGCTTTGTTGAAAACTCAAGGTTGAGGTGGTGGCCAGAACGCTCTCGATACTCGGCGCAGGGATAGCTTCTAATCCCGAGCCTCGAATTCCCGTATGCTCCTACAATCCCTGGTCCTCCAAAGCCATGCCTATTCAGAGGACGGGAGTGGCTGAGACGGGCTGACATTGTCACTTGTCATTTGTCCGTTCTCCACCGAGCTTTATGTGTCTTGCATCTGGTCTTGGTGTATAATTGAGGTGGCTAACTCTGGTCACAATTGCAGGCTGTCCTTGCTTCAGACTGATCTCCTCCAATCTTTAACTCCTACCCTAGTATGTCATGCTGGCGATTCCGGAATGCAGGCGCTTTGGTCCTGTGGACAAGATACGATGCATCTAGGTGTTTTCTTATCATGATGGAATGCTGGATAGGGAACATTCGCACTATGCCGGGAGAAAGGAGCAACCTGCGGGACCGGGGTATCTGGCGAAGATACATACTTCCTTCATTCATCCATTATTACATGACCAAACCATTCAAGTTCGGTCGCCCTCGTCAGCACATTCAATCATGATGAACAATAAGGGGTAAAAGGGGCACTTTAGTGCGGACAAGGATGTTTGCTTCATTGCCTCCAGGCGCCAAGCTGCCAGCCGATCGCGATTAGTAGATTACCCTCTATAGCACTCGTGTAATGAATGTCTAGCTTGTACATGACTTGTGGCGAGCGATCGAAGTGAGGCTTAGCTATCTGAACATATTCTTTGCAGATCGTGGACTCAATACATTCTGTAAGGAATCATCAATTGGTAAGAAGTGCACAGAATCTCGGTAACTATCAAGTTGCCTAGGTAATAGCAACTGGCCGGACAAATCTCCACCACTGGGATCTTTTCTATTTTACTACAAAACCACCAAATATGAGTGAGGCTTACATTATTGGTACTTATTCGCTCCAGGGACCCTTATGAGGCTTCTGGAGTAATGCACGGTAGCCGCTGGAGCCTATCCGCCTTCTTCCCGTCCACTACATCCGCTTACCATCCCCCATCCCGCCGGGAGTATGGAAATAGAAGAAACAAGACCCTAGCTGGAGGAACAATCTATTTCCTCCTTCAATGTATGGACAATCGCCGCATGGGGTACATGTATAATGATACTATGAAGATATCATCATGCATGTAGAGATGATCCAGAATGCGTTGCTTTCGTAACCCCATCCTTAATCAAAGTGGCTACCTAACTATTTTAAGCGTCCTCCGGGTGATGTATCAATAGACATCTCCTTGCTGGGTACCTGCAGACTCCAATTCGATATATTCTACTCCAATCAACGAATCCTTGTTTAACCTGCAGACTAGTAACCGTCCTTGCACTGATATTATGCATTCCTCTGGATGAAGTACATGGTCATAATTTCTCCCCAGGCCAACCATGAGTTCCTTACGTCGATGATTGGTCGCGTGTAACATCCCGTAACTACTATTTCGCCCCCCATGCAAGGGCCATTCTGACGGAATATCCTCAGTGCATATCATTATTTCTTGTAGTATCTAGATAGCCCCAGAAGGGCCGAGATTCTTCTTTCATCCTTCCCAATCATACGTATCACTCTAGAATACGAACTAGTTCGTGCACTATATGACTCGGAGAATTCCACGCATTTTTCTTGATGTAATCACCGCTCCACACTAGGGCCATAGCAAAGAGGATACCCTGATATATCGGTGAGCCTTGACATATCAACGTCCATGACTTAGTCTCATTCCTGCTAACGCTTGACGGGGGCAAAAAAAAAAAATGCAAACCATCTATTCACTAGTCCCTATCCATCCCATCGTAGACTAGAAAGGTGTCATACAATCCTTTCCAATACACTGACTGGCCTTTCTATATCATTCCACGCTGCTTCCTTAGTTCCCTGTACCATATAAACACACCGCATTCGGGACCCGAAATTATTTACAACCCACTGCGGATCTTGGAAGCAGACGAAAAAAAAAAAAAAAAAAAAAGTCGTCTAAGAAATTCCTGGAATTCTGAATTGTGTAAGAGGCACACACGGGCGGGTAATTAGCAACCCTTCACTTCATTATTTGAACCCATTCCCTTTGTGAAGGACAATCAAGGGCCAGCCAGCGTAGCCATCACCAGTAGTAAAATCAAAGCTGTCACCGACTCGCCCAGTCACCGCCCAGCCATATAAAACGGACTATTCCACTACTACCTACTACTTTATTAACTTAGCGGGCGTTTTCTTAACCAGAAAAACGAGGCGGTTTCCCAAGGCCCCGCAGTTCCGACCTTTTGGTCCACACTTAGAAACCGGCTTACGATATTTGGAGGCGCTAGCCCATACGCACAAAATGGCGGTAGCCGGGAGGCAACGGGTACGGTATGCAAAAACGAAGTTCGACTTGCCCATCTAACGGATGAGGGTAGATGTGGTGTGGGCCAAAGTGGGCAGACAAGCAGAATCTTTTTTCTCCTAGAAAGAAACGGTTGGAGGAAGACCAAATTCGTCAAAAGGAAATTCGAAGGACAGTAAGTAGTATTTTTTTCTTGGGTCGTGAGGACCAGATGTTAGAGAGGGGAAATATTCTAGAAGATTGGGTGAGTTGATGAATGGAATTTCGTTTTGTATAGACACAAAAGTATCAGCAACCAATGTTCTACATCACATTGGTATGTAGTAGGATCAGTTCCATCTTCCCTCGGTATATTGCATGTTCAATCCCGAATTGATCGTCGCATTTTCTGCATTATTATGATAGTAGTTGTAGTAGTGGCTCAACAAGTCAACATTTCTGATTTTGATCAGACCATCTTTGGGTAGGTCAGAAGTTTCTTTATACTAATAGTAGTATGTCCTTCGAATTATGCTACGTGTATCACTTTTTGGTACTCTACCTATCTTCATGGCCGGTGTATTCGTCAACTCTTATCGGCTTCGAAATTTGCCTCTCTCTCTCTCTCTCTCTCTCTTGTTCTTTCTTTCAACATCTTAAATTTACCGGTATTGATCGATTGAGACATATACGTACTTTACTTGTTTTTCATTGTTGCGTTGATATCCGTTTCGGGTCCACTACGTTGACTTTTACCTAACGATTCCTAAAGCCAGTGTATGCGCAGCGTAGTTTAAGGTGGTGGACGAGAGAACATGGATGTCAGAGGTTGTCGGCAAGAAAAGCGCAGCACAACTTGGCGCGAACCGTCGAAACTCCCCCTCCCCCCCAATTGATCTTCATTATTTCGTCATGGAGTCCTCAGTCTTTTGTCATGATCTAAATCAATCGAGGGGAGTGCAAGGGAGGGACACACATATCATTACTTAGTAGACATGCACCTCGTATCAATAATGTGGGGTGAAGAGGGAAGAAAATTTTTCAACATCCACTGCAACGATGTGCATCACGATCTGAGGCATTTTACTAAATAGTGGGCAAGATGTATCCCACAGTATCCCTCTAAAAGATGTGTGGAAAAGATATCCACGTTGCCCGTCAAGTATTTCATCCGAATACTACATGGACTGGGACGAATAGAGACCCTGCCAATTGGTGACAAAACGCCCATCTGACGACGCGAGAATTGCCCCCCAAAGCCGCACCAATATTCTCGAGAGACAATATGACCTTTTCTGGTAAGGTCAGGTCCTCTTACGACTGGGGCAGCGGAGAGCCTCAACCATGGTATGCTTTGTGCTTTTTGACGGCCGGTTTTCTATGGGTCCAGGTTGTTTTCTGTCAGTTTCTGCCTGTCCTGCCTGGTAAGTAGGTACCAGTAGGGTACCGGTTGGTAGCAGTGTATAAACCCGTATAAATACGTTCCAAGACGTATGCTGAAGAACGATACCGAGTAAGGGTCCTTACCTATACATACAGACCGAGATCGTACTTACATGGCGCTAGCTGGAATTTGGCTTAGTGCAAAACAGAAGAGCGGGTCTGATTGTAGTGTAAATAAACGACTCCACATTTAACCCCAAAGCTCTAGAAAAAGAAAGATTATTACTCAGCGGTCAAGTTCAGCCTTGTGCCGAATCATATTTTGTTGCTGTTTCCCCTTTGAAAGGGGTGAAGTAACTAAGTAATATGTGGACTTTGTCAATCGAGATATTGTCATCCGGGATGAATATCATGAGCAATCTAACTGCCGTGGTCGGTCGCTCAATGGCAAATCCCGTTTCAATATTCTACTATTAAGGGACGGGATGCATCGATAAATCCGTTCCTCGGGGCGCGTTCTGTATTCCCTCTTTTAGACCCATGTCGTCATTGAGTCTCGCGTCCCACGTTTCGGGTCTCCGGCCTGCCTGTTCTGGAATCCGGAGTTACGAGCAGCACAGGATGGAGATTATTGGCCCATCGTGATGCTTTCATTAAACGTCCAATTGCTAGGGGAGTAAGTAAGTACGTACTAACTAGTGTTTGCTGCTAATAATCTCGCCCTCGGGCTTCAATAATGACCCTGATATAACAATGGAGCTACTCCTATTTTCATCTCTCCTAAAAAAAGGAGTTGGGATAATCCGCTTCGCTTCTATACTTGTTCTGGGTTTAATCTCCTGGCAGGACCGGGAGATCAGACATCCGATGAATTGATGCCGTCCGTCCTGAACAAGCCACGTTTCCCTTCAGCTCTCATCTCCACGCCTCAGGCACAAGCTCGCGCGACCACCTCCTTCCGGCAGGTTAAAGGGAGAGGGGAAAGAGGAGGATCTCGAAATATGACATAAACTCGAAATTGAAAGTCTTACCCGCGGGAGCTTGGCGTGGATTGTGATGAAAAGCCCTTTACGCGTGCTGATTTGACGATCGCGTTGGGAGCCCATCGCGCGCTTATTGCCAATCTGGCGTGTCTCTTCAATGGCGTTCTCCAGATAACCCTGGTCTAGAAACTAGAGAAAGCCTTGCATCTGCATCCCGCTTGCCGTGCCTCGAGACTTTTTTGCCACTAGTCCGGGGAAGGATTACGGGTTTAGTACCCATTCTTTGGTGCCGCTTTTGGGTGTGCAGCGATAGTTCACACTGGCTAAGGTGTCTTTCTTGCATCTTGGTTTCTGTGCCCTGATATCCCTGTCTAATCCCAGAAGCATAATATGTGAAACTGCCCGCAATTGGGCTCGCGGTTTGCATGAACCTGGTCGGAATGTTATTAGGCTCAGCTGGCACGCCTGGACCACCCCATCAGCCACCTCCTGAACCGGAGAATGAGTGATGCCTGGTCTTAAACCAACGATACCTGGCGTGCGCTGTCATTGCCGTCTCTGCGCCGACGGTCGCCATGTCCGCCAGGGCTACCACCATGCTATCTTGCGCATACCTGCATTCGCGTTTCAAACCAGCGCCGACACCCCGTACAGTGGCCTGAAAAACATAGCTAGTTTGCACCAATTGAGAGCCCCTTTTTAATTGATTAAGCGCAGCGAAGATCACATTGCGTGATGATTTCAGCCGGAGGTGGAATTGGCGCCGTCCGTTCTATATTTGCCTCATGGCTCTCTATAAGATGCATATTAAAAAGTCAGACCGTGCATGTTCTCATACTCTAGGAGTATCAAACCCAGACCAAAAGGACAGGGAAACTTCATCTGCGACTTGGAATTGTGTTTGGGACTACAGTCTACTCTCCTGACGAGAGTGAATTCTCGTCGCAATATCGTGTATATTTAGCAAGACTGTCACTTGTTCCCCTGTTGCATGCTGCGCGGTGGTTGCTATATCCGAGCGCTTCGATGGAGTAACCCCAGGAGATCGTCCAAGACCCAATGGACCCGTAAGCAGCCCCGCCAATCAATGATTATATTCATTCGACGCTTTGGCTCCGGAAATTGTCCCCCTTCTTATCCGACGCTATTTGCATTATGTAGGTTTCGCTCGATTCGTGATATTTGGTTCTTAATATTAGAGAAGGCAACGTGACTTGACGATCAGTCGGCTCCGATCTCACGGGTTTCGCAGTCAATCGCGCACTCGTTATTTGGCTTCTCAGATGCTAATCTCCCGCGCGAGTCTCCTGAGGAGATGATCCAAGAGTGTTGTCTTAGTTGTGTGTTTGGTGCGGCTCCTTCCAAGTCAGCGCGGCACAAAGTGTGCCTATCAATGAACCCCGCACATTCCAATTATCAAATCAAACTGTCGAACCAAAACTGGAACTGAGCCACGCATCCTGGTTCAGCTGAAGGTGGAAGATGAATCCGCCAAAGATATTATGAGCGATCCATTTGGGTCCACTAATATTTCTTGCTGCTGAGCCTGCTGGGGCTCATTTCCATACGCCGTAAGAACTTGGACGTAAGCGTTTTATCCGCATATACCCCATTGCTCACCCTCCATACTGTACAAGCCAAGGGACGGACGGCATATCTCCCCTTTACCTTTCCACAGTACATTCATCTAGCCTCTCCACACCTGCACATGAGCTCTGACATCTTGAATACCACGGAATTTCGCCCCCTTGGGTGGGGAGCGATGCCTGCAACATCGGCTTAGTCGCATCCTATCAGCTCTCTAGGACTCCGAACCGGGCCCTGCTAGCCTTTAAAGTACGAACCGCGTTCCGGAAATGATGGCCCAGGCTGCTCTGACGTGGCAATCCCTCGATCTCGAATCAACCTATGGACATCCTAGGACATGAAAGTGTCTTGTCAGTGATACGACATCTTCATGCAGCAAAACTCGCTCTCTGTGTTCAAGTATCCGATGGATGTCCTGATAGCCAGTCATTGACCCGTTTCAAAGCCCGCTTGCATATGGCCAGTACAATCCATTTATTCGACATCTGTCCCCCCATTCTGACTGCATTCACAAGAATCCACTAACCAGACTGTCTGTCTCTCAGCATGTGTCGCGCAGAGTTGGTCCGACCAAATAAACCATTCTGGTCCTAGTCAGGTCTTGTTTGTTATCTTGCTCAAAGCTTGGTATCGTCAAGTCCTCGAAAGCAACTGTTGGTTCACAGCATTTGTTCTCATCCGGTGTGTTGGCGTTGCTTATCAGTACAAGCTGACGCCTCTCCGAGATGGAGGGTATGCCGAATGACTAGGCCATTCTGGCCAGATGGATGAGTGCTAGACAAGCGCACTCCTGTGCAGTGTGGACGAACATTTTAGTCTGTTCTTCTTGCCATTTTTGGAAAACTTGCTATGGCATATCCGGTAGGTGAGTTTTTGCAGTTGATACCAGTAGTACAGAGAAGGTTGGACCATCCATGTCTATGTCGCACATGTAAAAGGCTCCTTAATAACTGCGCTGGACAGAGAGCAAATCAGCAATCATGGTATTCTTGTAATCTCTTGACGCTTTTTTCAGCCTATATTGGGCTTCAATCTTTGTAGATATCAGTCTTTGCCGTCTCGGCTTATTGGATAGGAAAATCTCAACGACACCATGTCCCACAACCATGATAGCCAGCCAACACACCTAATATTCACTTTCATATTTAGTGAATTCCACATCAAATCAACACGTATCTCATATCTCAGCAATGTGCAATTGCGATGCTCGAAGACGACCACAGCCCGCAACAAATCACGTGACACAAGAGCCGGTGGGACCTCCGCGGCGCGCTAAAAATTGTATCAAAAAAGATCCGGAAAAAAAGCTGAAGAGTCGCCAGCACCATCCAATCGAGCCACCGCGCCTGTGCCAACCATATCACGAACCGTTTTTATCGTCCGGAATGATTGTTTAACGGTCGGCTCTACAAGTTGAGCCGGGTAGAATCCTATAATCGCCAAACGGGGATCTACTTTTTCCACACGTCGTATCATCAAGAAAACGAAGCTCTTCCAGTTACCAAAAAACCAAGACATCATCACCACCACCAAAAGCCCATCATGGATATCCACCGCTGCCGTTTCGTTCCCTACAACCCTCAAGCGATCAATGCGCTTGCTTTCTCCCACCCTCCCTCCGCGGAACTCGCAGGACGAGGTGTCCCTACGCTCCGACTCGCAATCGGTCGCGCCAACGGCGATATCGAGATCTGGAACCCCCTGCGCGGCGCCTGGTTCCAGGAGACAGTTCTCCGAGGAGGAAAAGACAGAAGCATTGAGGGGCTGGCATGGACGCTTGACCCCCCTGAGCCTGGTCCGGATGGGTCAAAGCTGCCTGGACGCCTGCGCCTCTTCAGTATCGGATACTCGACTGCCGTGACGGAGTGGGATATCGAACAGGGTCGTCCGCTGCGCCATTCGAGCGGAAACTACGGCGAGATCTGGTGTTTGGCTGCTCAGCCCAGGTGGCAGGCGACGCGGGGTAAGGATGGCAAATTGTTGCCTCCGGCGGAGGGAGAGTTCACGGGCCAGCATCTGGCTGCGGGTTGCGCCGACGGATCGATTGTTATCTTGTCCACGGCGGATAATGATCTGAAGTATCTGCGTACTATGCGCCCGTCTACGAAGAGGTCCAGAGTGCTTAGCGTGACTTTCCAGAACCGTAATACCCTTGTCGCGGGATATGCGGATAGTTCGATTCGGTTGTACGATATTCGGAGTGGTCAGCTTCTGCGCACGATATCCTTGGGTAAGGGTCCTGCTGGGGGAACGAAGGAATTGCTCGTCTGGTCGGTTAAGTGTCTACCTGATGGGACGATCGTTTCGGGTGACTCGGCTGGTGAAATTCGCTTCTGGGATGCTAAGAACTATGCCCTCATTCAGCGTCTGCAGGGCCATTTGGCAGATACGTTGGACATCGCTGTGAGCGCGAAGGGTGATACTGTTGTCAGTGGTGGTGCCGATCAGAGGACGGTCGTGTATAGGAAGAAGGATGGTGAGAAGGGTGACAAGAAGGCTAGATGGACTGAGGTCATGCATCGTCGCTACCACACTCATGATGTGAAGACCTTCGCTGTTTACGAGACCAGGGATATCAGTATTGCCGTGTCTGGAGGTGAGATTCACTGCGCTACGATATATGCGATTGCCTGTGGATTAACAATGACTAGGACCTGACGCCGCACCGGTTGTCCTGCCCCTGCGCGAATTCGGAAAGGAGCACCACAGAAAGCTTTCCAGCTTGCCCCAAATACCCCAACTTGCATCTTCCCCTGCGTCTAGGCTCGTGATGAGTTTCTGGGATAGGGAGGTCAGTATCTGGCGTTTGCACCGTGGTCCTGCGACGCACGAGAATGCGGATGGCCAGCGGCATCGCTTGGTCGGCAAGGTTCTCATCCAGGTAAGAACCACAGTGGATCCAGTTACAGTACGGCCTATATCTAACGACCTTGCAACAGGGCGAAGAAAATATCACATCTGCTATGCTCTCCGCAGACGGAAAGATCCTCGTCGTTGCCACGATATCCACCATTAAGCTGTTCTCCGTGCGGCGCCGCAAGGGCGATGAGAAGGGAACTCTCCGCATACAGAAGTTGGACGTGCCGAAGGCTCTTGCGGAGGACGGTGCTCGGGTCGTGACCGTCGCTCCTAACGGCCAGTGGGTTTGCGTCGTCCGTCCCAACAGTGCTATGTACCTGGCTCGCATCAAGCCGGCCTCCACCGCGCAAGAGAAGCCTCACATTCACACCCAGCTCGTCAAGCTGAACAGAGCGACTCGTCACACTCGATTCGAGAAGGCCTCGCACGGTACCTTGGGCGAGTACGAGAGATCAGTGCGGTGCGTCGTATTCTCCGACGACAGCAAGGTCCTGGCATCCGGTGATCTCTCCGGCTGTGTCGATACCTGGGCGCTCCAGAACGCAGAGGACGCCCCCAAGAAGCGCGATAATGCCGCCGGCTCAGACGACGAATCTTCCGATGACGAAGACCAGCCCGTGATCGAGGGTGAGCGCTGGACTCATGCTGCTGGGGAGTCCCCCATTCCCCGTCTCAAGTCCGGCGTTGTCCTCCTGTCGTTCCGTCCCCCCAACCCAGCCAAGACGAAACTCCTCATAAACGGAGTCGCAAAGGGCGAACACCGCCTGATGGCCCTCACAAGCGAGCACCAGCTCGTAGAGTTCGACGCCGTCGAAGGCAAGCTATCCGACTGGTCCCGGAGAAACCCGAAGGCCTTCCTCCCCGAAGAGTTCCGCGGCGTCAAGGACCGTGCCATGGGCTGTGTCTGGGACCTATCGGCTGCCCGCGAACGCCTATGGCTCTACGGCACCTCCTGGCTGTGGATGTTCGACCTCAACCAGGACTTCCCCTCCCCCGAGGAGCTGAACGCCTCCGCAGACAACCACGAAGACGAAAACGCCTCCACACAAACCTCCAAGAAATCCGCCGCGCAGAAGCGCAAACGCAACCCCTTCGAGGAGGAAGAGAACGCCCGCAAGAAACCCAACAGCGGTGCCGGTGACAGGATACCCCTCGCCCAGTCCGACCTGTTCTTCGCAGCCAAGATGCGCAAGATCGTCGGCAGCGACGAAGGCCAAGGCGAGTGGATGTCCCTGGACAAGGAACGTCCTCGTGCCCCCGACGCCGACGATGAAGCATACGACTACGACGAAGCATACACGGCCAACAACGATGTCGCTCTGGCCCGTCTCCGCAGAGAAAGACAATTCATCGAAACCAGCACCCCCCTGAAACGCGTCTCCATCGGTGGAAAGCAGGATAAACTCCTCCTCGGCGGCGACGTCGAAAGCCCCTCCGCCCAGAAACAACTCGTCCCTGCTTCAGCCGACTCCAAATCCAACCAGCAGCAGCAGTCCTCCCGCCGCTGGTGGCACACCTACAAGTACCGTGATCTCCTGGGTATCGTGCCCCTGGGCTCGGATGCCGATGATGTCGAAGGTGATAGCGACAGTCATTTCTTGGAGGTCGCCGTCGTCGAAAGACCCATGTGGGATGTCGATTTGCCGGGTCGTTATGTCCGGGACTACGCTTAGGCGAGTCGTCATCTTTCATTCCATTTCATTTACTTCCTTCTCTTTTTTTATTATTACAATGTTCATTTCTTCAATTTATATTAGATATTCTTCTTGTCTTGGCGAGCATGATAGGTCTTTTTTACAAATCAGAATTAGATTAAAAGTTGCTTTTTTCTTAACCCTTCAATTCATGTAGCCCGTAGATTGCTTGGTAACTGTCGGGCATGGGAATGATAGATCAGGCGTGGCATGTTTTCATGTTGAGTGTATCTTTTACTTCAATAGGGATGATTGTATTATATTGAAAGTTGAGAACTCGATTGCATTAGGTGAGATGACTGTCAGTTGGGCCCTTATCTCTTTGCTCCTTCGTATTTGTAGATGAGAGGGGTGGAAAAAGCTCGAAACCAGGAGAATAGTAAAGGATCAAGACAACGCCATGCATGTTTCCTGTAAATATCTACCACAACTATCGTGAAAATCGAACCATGTTCCATGTAGCATAGCATGAGCGTAAAGAAAACCGAAGCAACCCAGAACCTGCTGATCTGCGTTCAGGAGACAGCATACATATCGTGACGCATCAAAATCTTGTCTTGTCTCAATGCCCAAAGGCGACAGGAGACTCCATAGAAAGTACAGAAAGTAAACATGTAACGAAAACGCCGATGAAAGAAGAAAAGTACATTGCAAACTCCCGTGACTTCCCTCTTTGGCTTGTGGTCGTGATTTTCAAGTCAGGCTTCTTTCTTCATGCAATTAATTTGCGGCCGCCAGGTGAGACTCCATAACCGTAAGCCGGTTTATAAACTGTCTATTGGGCGATCCGATATGGATTTGTCTCATGGCAGGCCTATCATGATGTTGATCGATTCCAGGTGGCGAGAGATATAACGGACCTGGCACATCCCGTGTCTGCTGCATCTGCAGAGTATATAGTCGTGCGAATCAGCTTCGCGGCGCTGTTAAATAAATTTCGGAAGCTGGCACCCGAGAGATGCGTATATCGACGGGCAACGGATATGTGTAGCGCAGCATCCGTTTGCTGCTGACGGTATGCTAGCCCCACCAGTTTATTATAGGTCGCACTATCGAGTGGACGGGATGTTGGACGCTGACCAGCCATGGCAGGCTCAGGTCCAGGTCCTTGGTGGTGACATATGGGCGGACGGCGATTGCTTGGCATGTAATTACCAAGACCTCTAGTAGCTTTGCGCAGAGACAGGTGCAGGCTGCATCCGTTAGCATCGAACAAGCAAAGATGAATGCCGAGTTGAAGAGTAAAATCGTCATCCCAAGTACAAGCGTCTGGGCAGCGTTACACAAGGGAGTTGCGCTGTGACCTGGCAAGAGAAGATGGCTAAGCAAGGGACAACTTACAGGACTGCTGAGCATGCTGTTCCGCTTGTTCCGGCCCTTCTTAATATGGTTCTTCAGTGCGGTGGAATCCAGCGGTTTGAGCAGCTCAAAACTACACAACAATTCACCTGAAACCGACATAATGGCACCCCAGTTGTCGAATTCACCACAATACTGTTATGAATAGTGGTTAGCAAGATAAGTCATCGGGCTGCAGATACCTCAGAACGGTGTCTGGAAGCACTTACATTAGGTGCAGAGAAGACGGTAACGAGAATTCGATCCTGGTAGAACTCATAGCCGTCCTCGACGACCATGTGCGCTCTGCAGACCAAGTCGAAATCATGCCGTTGCAAGAAGTCCATGATGACCTTCTTACCGAAGCAATAACTCACTCCGCGCTCGTTTGGCTCCCAGTCCTCTTCCATATCCGCAGGGTCGCTCCACAAAAGATCATTCAGCAAACCGTAGTCCGGCACATCGGTCGGACGTGCGATTCCTCGAATGTCATCCATATGGGAGAGGCTAGGAGACAAACCACCATGGACACAGAAGATCTTGCCAGCGACGATCGCAGCGATGGGGAGGCAGTTGAAGGTATCAACAAAGGTCTTCCAGATCTTGATGTTGCAACGCCGCTTACATTCATCATAGAACCCATAAACGCGGGTGACGTTGGCACACTCGTGGTTGCCACGTAGAAGGAAGAAGTTCTCCGGGTATTTCAGCTTATAGCAAAGCAGGAGAAGAATCGTTTCCAGACTCTGCTTTCCACGATCCACATAATCACCCAAAAACAGATAGTTGGAAGCAGGAGGGAACCCGCACATCTCAAAGAGCCTGATAAGATCCGTATATTGACCATGAACATCTCCGACGATCTTGACAGGGGCAGACAGCTCCAGCAGAGCCGGCTGAGAGAGGAACAATTCCCGTGCCGCGGTACAGATCGCCGTGATCTCTGCGTTCTTCAAGCAAACGGTCTTGGTGACCTTCGTCGAGTAACCGGCGTCGAGAAGCCGCGAAATCATGTCGTCCAAGTCAATAGACTTCAGAGCGCCCATTCCCATACCTGGCGAACTAGCTGCCTCGAGTGGAGTGTTCATTATATAGTCCAGAATGGGGTTGAGTTGATTGTCCTTTTTGATGAGGATAGATTCACCCACGGCCTGCGAGGATGGGCCCACGGGAGCAACACCAGTGGGAGGAGCGTCCGACACAAGGTCAACCTCGCCGCTTTGTTGCATAGCACTCACATCTTGATGTCCTCGCTTCAAACTGCTCGACAAGGAAGGGGATGGGGGAGGCTCGGGGGCATCGGGGTTCGCACCCGGATCCTCGGCGGTAGGAGACTGTGTACTCAGGTTGGTGGAGCTGCGTCGACTCGCTGCCGACTTGATCGAGCCAGCATCCGACCTGTCGGTCTGGCTCTCCGTTTGTGACAGCGCGGACGTCGATGCGCGGGGACTGTCACTGCTACGGATTTTCGAGCGGATCGAGCCCCGAAGCGAACGGAGCGATTCTTTGGTATCCGACCGAGAGAAAGATGGATACGACTGCAAAGAGTCGCCCGGGCTGGAGTTGCCCTTGGAATGCGACTGACCCATTACTGCAGGGTGAAATATCTGCCAAGCTCGATTTCGGACGTCTATACAAGCGATATACGTTCAAAGTGTGAACACCAAGCCCTGCGGTGCGTCGGAATGCTGAGGGTCGTCTTGGCTGCTGCCTAGTCCCGAGAGATTTGGTCCAGATATAAAGGAGACAGATCTTCCACAACGGTATGGGCAGGAAAAAGACCAGTCCTCGATCGCGAAAGTTGGCGGTGACGGAGATGCAACGAAGCAATAAACGGGGGCCAGTTAGGACGAATATCGGTACAACAAGGGAACCAGTCCCGGGGAGGCGTTGCAAAGATTAAGAAGCGATTCGACAGATCGGTGATGTCGAAGAGTTATCGGAAGGAATGGATGGACATTGAGCGGAGGGATGAGAGAGCTTCACTATGGAAAGCCGCCGACAGCTAGTAGGGTGCTCGGAAGGGGAAGCTCCGATTCGCCGAAAAGAGCTCCTAGGGACGTGTGGATTAGACGAGGCTTGAGCAGGCAGCGACAGACGGAACACAAGATCACAAATACAAAGGGAGAAAATGACAAGGGTAAAAAAAAAATAAGAAAAAAAAATATTGGAGTTAAGTTGAGGGTGGCATGTGTAGGGGAGATCTGTGAAAGCTAGAAGCTCTGGACGGAGAATTTGGGTAGATTCGGGGCTGTGGGAGGGGGAATAATAATAGAGTGTGGAATGGATGCGTCATTATGGGGTGGGAAAGAATGGAGATGAAATCAGACAGGACAGGAAGGGAAACTCACCCTCACCAGACTACTGGGGAGATTGAAGCACTAAAAGCTGACGAGAGACTGTGTAATGGAGGGAGAGGGGTTTGTCAAAGTTGGAGAATATTTGGAAAAGTCTAGTTGATCAAGGAAAAAAAGAAAGGAAAAAAGGGGAGAGTAGGAAAGTTGTAGTAAGTAAGTTGTAGCTTTGTTGGATGTCGCCTCAATAATCCCCCAGGCTGTCGTTTTTGGTCTCGATCCTGCAGCCAAAGCGGGTGTGGCATTTCCCGGAGGATCTGTCGGCCCGGGTGAAGCTTGAGCGGCTTGGGAGGCCTGAGGATGAAATAGAGCTGCCTAGAATCTCTTGGTCACTGAAATGAGATAAAGAGATAGTTAGATCAATAGATGTAGAGATAAATCGAGATTCGAATTTAAAGTGACCACTCCCTACCAGAAGTCTATTTATTTTTTTCTTCTACTACCCAACTTGCCCTGTCTGTGCCCCGTTCTTCTTTAATTTATATCACCACGGACTATAGGAAGAAGTAGTTGTGTGTGTCGACGAACAGAAAGGCTTACACGCCCCCTCCCCTCCTCCAACCGATGACCGAGCCACATTTCAGCCCCTCGTGACTACTGTACATACAGTAAAAAGTTGACACCACGCTGCAGCACGGACACGTTCTCCTCTCTCCATCACACCCGTCTCTTTTCTTGGCTTCGTTCTCTTCAGGGCATTATAGGTTCCTCGCGCTTGCAACCATGCATACAGATTTCAATCCAGCCTGGAAAACCGGATGCACCACTTATCTTCGGATGATCACCGAACTGTCAGCCTCTCAGATGCTCCGAGCACTCCCGACAATTCCATGAGGGAATTCGTCGGCCTGCTCCATTATTGGTCGGACCGGAACGCATGTAGTCATAGACTTCTGCCAGTTTAGATGAACTGCCGTCCCGCTGGTGTCAAGTCCACGACCCCTCCAACGCAGGGCCGACGACGGATCATGAGGCGTAGAATAATGTGCTATGCAAGATACCTCTTAGTCACAACGATGGCAGGACGCAACTTCAGTCCGCAGCAGGTCCAAACTCTACCCCACTGCAGGAACACCGCCATTTCCATCTCCAACCCCAGCTCAGCCTGGTCATGATCATGGCTTCTGCTGCCAAGCCCCTTCTACTGCGCCAAGCACCAACGACTTATGTCCGATCTTTTCTCCTAGCCACGTTGTGGTGGGCATGTTTTGGGTGATGTGCCTTGGCCTGCGTTGCAGTCTAGCTGATGCGGGTAAAGGATTCCAACCATGGCATGTGTGACACTGAATGGGATTACTGCGCAGGTGAATATGCAGAGTCCGCCTTTTTGACTCGGCGCTAATAGGTGCATTTGTCCAGTCGATTTCAGTACCTCCCCGATGATCATCATTGGTCACCCTATGACCGCCCGCAGCCAATCCTTAATATGAGAAAGCTGGGGCCGAGCGGTGTAACAGCTTTTCGTGATGTTCGTAGCGCAACTTGGTAGACGGGATTATAAAGCAACGGCGTACCGCCAGTTTCATTCTACTTCTTCAGGGACTCCCGCGCGCGAATCTGCTGCGGGGTTTCCTCCAACTCAATTTTCGTAATATGTTGGCCAGGAACGACCACAAGACCGATGAATCGACTCGTCATATCCATCTTGACGCTCTGGGCGTCGACTGCGCTACCGGCGGCTGAATCATGCGTACCCGTGGCGGCGTCTCGAACAGTAGATGGGGAAGGGAAGCGGTATTCGTAGGTGCTGGCAAGGATGATATTTCGTGCCTAATGCGGCCAAAACAAGTCAGCAGGCGCTAGTTTATTTTCATTCTCGTATTCTTGGTTTTCATATCCCTCCGAGCTATCCAAACAGAAAAAGTGTTGAAACGGAAACTCATAACAGAAAGCACCTACCGCATCCGTACACTTGAAGGTACCCACGAAAATGCGCGTATCTGTCGCGTGCACTCGTAACGTCCGACCGATCAATGAGTCCAGATATTGGACTGCTTGGTTTCCGTCCATTGTGCCCTCTCCTGTTCTTCCAATCGATTGACGTAAGGCAACCTGCCTAGCCACACCTTCACTTTTAAGCGGGGTGTGGTTTGACCACTAGAAGAAAGAAATCTAGCGGTCCAGACTATTCTGCGTTGTCCCAAGGCGAGGCGGGAAAATCAATGGGGCGAGGTTGGGGAGTCTCTTATAGCCAGCTGAACTCAAACGCCTAGTCAGACTGGACGGATTCCGGTTGGTTGTTGGGGAGAGAAAGATGGTCACCGGGTCGCGACAAAGAGATCCGCTGGAGACCTCAGGCATTCTTGTCGCATGTGACGTTCCGCAATCGGGCACGCTATAACAACGGCTCTTCATGTTGGATCTCGCTTTATCCTATGGAAGAGGTCTATTCATGATGTGAAAGAGATATATATAATAGCACCAGTATAACTGTTTCAGCTTGTTTACCATAAGGATTACGTGAATTTATTGTTTGCATCGCTCAAAATATTGTAGTATAACGATCCTCAACACATCTTGAAAACTATATACATCGTTTCGTCTGTAACTCTGCAACTCAGTCGCCAAGGCAGCTCGGGTTGACTCGAATTCAACTCGAGTACCTTGGCAGCCGTTTTGGGCGAGAGAAGCAGGTTCCGGGCTGCTTTCGTTCATGTCTCCATTTGAGGAAGACATGCAGATGGATGGATTTTGCAACATATATCAAGTGACGGTGTCACGACGCTACCAATATGACCAGCACATTGATCCGCGCGAATATAATATTATGATAAAGTGGATCAAGGTATCATCGCTAAAAGAACTGATGTCGTTGATATCGCACGCTGTGGGTGAAATGCACCCCAGACATGGCCGAGCACTCGTCATGCCCAACCAAACCCTCCGAATGGTCTCAGAGGCTCTTGGACTGACTCGTTGGTTACTGTGTCCATGTCCATATCGCTGCCTGTCAGCTGCGAAGGTGGGCTACTCGTACCCCATCCCGTCGAAGTAGCTGGCGAGGACAGATTAAGGGTACGCGATTGAAATGGTGTTGTTTGCAGTGGTATAGCATTGTTCGATGGTTGATCCAGCTTGTTCAAGCGGTTGTGGGCGGGCGTAGATTGGGAAGGGCGGAAGAACTTGAGCAATGTCTGCTGGCGAGGGTCGACGATCTCGGACGCTGGTACAGGTTCTGGCTCAGTTGCCTCGTCCTCGTCTGTGGAAGGAGTAGGAGCTTGGTGTTGTTGTTGCTGAGCCGTAAAAAGCCATCGCATTGTATTGTCTACTGTATGTGAGACAAATGCTTTTGGATAGTAAGGTGCAATCTTTCAGAACATACCATAGACTACTTCGTCATCCGGGCGATCGTTCCTGAAGCGCTTGCGGGTGCGACTGTGGAGGTGCTTTGGGGAGTCATCTGCCACGAATAATCGTCCTGACAACACAGGAGCAGGATTGGGCGATGTGAGACTGGGAACCGAGGCCTTGCGCTTGAGGGACATGGTGTGAGGCAGAGAAGGTTCAGATCAGATCTCTGGTGTCGCGTGCGAATATTGAAGAGTTTATTTCTCGGTGGAACAATGCAGAGGACTATTATGAGAGGACAATGTGAAGAATTGATCGTGCAGAAAAGTTTATTCACGAACAATGGGTAACTGTGCAGGTGGATATATAGAGTCGTTGGCTACAACAGGGCTGGGGACAGCCTTTTCCAGTGTGGTTGGGAGAAGGATACCGGCGCGTCGGGTCACGGGGAAGCGTGAACAAGACCGCGTTCCAATACACAAAATATGCACTATTCCGATTCGGGGTAAATTGATCCGTCCATTCCAGTGATGGCAGGTGATAAAGATGGCAGATAAGCAGAACCTTGGGTCCCGCCATAGTACAAGTAGCTAACTAGCGACTCCGTAGTAATTTACTCACTATTCTCTCATATGAAAGACTATATGGTGCCAGACAGGCATTCCGCTTCGGGCTTTAGCTGTATCGGTATATACTCCAAACTCACAGGCACGAACGACCACGGCGCTGACAATCTAGTACAACAAGGCCGGAAACTAGTCCGGTTCTGCATGATTTCATGCTAGGTATTAGGTCTTTCCTGAAGAGTGTCTATGATTGGCATGCTGTCCTCGATGCTGCTTTGTGTCTTGAGAGCTTAAACCCGGCTGCATTCTTCGTTGCGGAACCCGCAATGACGAGAGTTCCGCCTTCCCCGCTTCTGCCTTATCAAGCTGCCACCGACTGTTTTTCATCGTCATCCTAACTCTTCACTTCAACTTTGCCCAAATCATACCTATATATATTGTATCATATACCATCGCAACATCTCTCTAATAGCAGGCCCTTCAGATAATAGCAAGTCAAGCGGCTCAACATGGACGCTCGTGAAGATAGTCATGCTGGTTCATGGTACTCCGACGATAAATCCACCTTGTCCTATCAACTGGATCGCTGGTTGCAAGAGGTACCGGATGAAATCGAGGGCATCGGCAAACTACCCGTGCCTGGTACACGAATGATCATTGCGCCGTATGTATCGGAAAGCTAATTTGCATGTTGTTTCTGACACTCTGATCTATTCTCAGACACGCAGGCTATGCATACTCCGGACGATGTGCCGCTTTCGCCTACAAGGCCCTGGACCTGTCACAGGCGTGAGTGATAGCCCTCTAGCCTCACTCTCGCTGTTTACTAAAGTAAATAAATGTATAGTAAACGAATCTTTGTTGTCGGACCATCGCATCACCATTACTTCACGACGCTTGCCCTTCCTGAATTCACTTCATACCATACCCCGCTCTCTGACGACCCTCTACCGCTTGATACCGAATTCATTGCCAAGCTACGTTCAACCAAAGCAGTGTCACGAAATGGGCTAGAATTGCAATTTACCACCATGTCTCGCTCTGTGGACGAAGCTGAGCACAGTATCGAACTGCACCTACCTTACATCCACCGTCTCCTACAACGCCAGCGTCCGAACCAGCCAACATCCCAATATCCACCGCTGGTACCTATATTAGTGGGTGCTGTTACTGAGTCGACCGAGAAGGCTTTCGGAACCTTGCTTGCTCCGTGTATTGATGATCCAGAGAATGCTTTTGTCATCAGCTCCGATTTCTGTCATTGGGGGCAGCGGTTCCGTTACACTTACTACAGCCCCCAGGCTCCTAACCCTGGGCCCAGCATCCCCGTTTCCGCTCCAGGCCTCCCTCAACCCGGGATTGATGGCGATAGTGTAACCGATCAGATGGAGATGGTGTCTACCGGTCGCTCTTTGAAATCGCGGGAACGTATTAGGAGCCGAGAACCACCCATTCACGAGAGTATCTCGGCACTTGACATTGCGACCATGGCAGCTATTGCCACCGGAGAGTACGCACGTTTCTCAACGATACTCAAGAATACAGGGAACACGGTATGTGGCCGTCACCCCATCGGCGTGATAATGGCTGGTATTGAAGACATTAGAAAGAATGAAGGGGAGAAGGGCAGATTTCGCTTCATCCGATATGACCGCAGTTCAAATGTGATAGAGGTGGACGATAGCTCTGTGAGCTACGTTTCTGCCTTTACCGTGCTCTAGGTTAGCACATGCTCACTGCAAACTGAGAAATCAGAGGAATTGTCATCTGTATCCAATCCTTGCTCGGGACTGTGAATAGCCGCGTACCCTTAAGGCTCTCTAGTATGGTGTAGGAATCATTTTTCAACTACGGCCAGTCGATATGTCATTCGGATATCTTCGCCTGCACCCTCCGCGAGAAAGCGGCCTGTTAATCCCCACAGCAGCATTTCCCGACCAAGGAATGAAACCCTTGAGAGATTGAGATCACCGGTCCTGCTGCCAGGGAGGGTAGCATAGAGGTAGTATTGCTAAGATGGCCACTCTTCACGCTTGTTGGGCCATTGGTTAATGCCCAATTAACGAGGTTGAAGCTCGAAGAGTCTACTATACCCGCCATGACTGGCAAGAAGACATGGTACTCCCGGAGAAGCTTCAGCAGGCGTCGACGAGGACAAACGAGCGATGGAAGATCATTGCCACATGGGCACCCGATGGAAGCAAAGAAGGTTCGCTGTTACACGGCAATGGAGGGGGTTGGATTAAGACATCTCGGCCACTCCGGGGCAACAACCCCAAAGAGACTGGAGAAAAAGCCTCATGCCTGCCGTTTCTTGCTCATTGCATGGTGCCGGTCTGCGGCGGGACTACATATGGTCCGATTGTCTGGTGATGGGATCGCGTGGCTGACCTGCCTGCCCGGTTACCCCGCAGCTTTGCGCGATGGTCTGCCGGGGATGGAGGAAAAGCAAGTCGAAATCCCTCATGCATGATGCAGTGTTCAAAAGGTTGCATTGGGCTGAAGGGGATGTTTGACATTGGTACGTTGGGGCTGGTGTTGACGGCAGCCGTTGGCCAGTGACACTCTCCAACAACACCCTTAGCCGTGCGACTGCGGGGGTTTGGCACCACCCAATCGATGGAGATGAACCTAAATTGAAGTCCTACATCTCGTAGATTTTCTATCCAATCCGCAGTCAGAAGCGTTGGCTCAGCATTTTGGCTTTCTGACCCGTGCGGTCTCTCGGATACTTTTGCAGCTTGAGCCAGATTCCTCAAGGTTTTTTTTCCAAACATTGGCGCCTTCAGGGCTCCAATGGTGTTCCTGTTTTGTCTTGGGATTGGACCATTACGGTGATGCTCTTCACTCTCATTCGATTCTAGTTTGATCACTTCTGGCGATCTGTTGACTCAATTGTTCCCGTGGCGTAGCCAACGTCGGGATGTGCCTTCTGTGCCCGGGTGGATAGATCCATTCCTTGTCACCGTTTCCAAAGTCCAGGTCGTAGGACGGTCGGAGACAAATTTCAAGGACGGCGGAGATTGCCAAATCTTGTCACATGCGCACACCGGGGCGCAGATGGTTGTTGGTTTGGGCCCCATGATGCCACAGGTTGAGGTATGTCGGTATTCGCCGGCATACAAACGACTGAAGGTGACTATAAAAGACACCAGTGGAAGCTGTTTCACTTCTATCAGCTCAAAATCAGAGATCTGAAGTTTCAATCCAAGAGGTAAGCCAATTATTTGGGTCTTTCCGGAGATAGTCTGCTGAAACAGAGCGTTGACTAGCATCTTTGTTGCGAGACGACAAAGAGCTGCATCCAAGAGCTATATCATCTACACTGCCCAGGCTCGTTCTTTGCCTGTTTTCGTGGTCAGTCTTTCCTTGATTTGCAGATCTAGAGGCGCTTGAGGCGTCTTGATTTGTCATTTCTTTATCTCTTTTGCATTCTGTTTGGCTTAGTCTCGATCACTGGTTGATTTTTCGAAGATGAAGTTTTTCAAGTTACCCGTTCTGGCCCTGGCTGGGCTTTTTACCGCGGCGAGCTGTGCTCCCACGGGCCAGAATACTACTGATCCAGTGAATGGCACTACTGAAGCGTCGACTGATCGACTGGTCTTTTGCCATTTCATGGTAAGCATTCCATTGGATGTGATATGGCTGGGCTTCACTAACAGATTAGATCGGCATTACTAGCAACCGACAGAGCGCTGCGGACTATGATGATGACATGAAACGTGCAAAATCCCTGGGCATCGATGCCTTTGCGTTGAATATTGGGGTTGATCCCTACACTGACACGCAGCTCAACTTTGCGTACGAATCGGCCGCACGCAATGACATGAAAGTATTCATTTCCTTCGACTTCAACTGGTACAATATCGGACAGGCATCTACTGTTGGACAAAAGATCAGGCAGTACGGAAGCCTGCCGGCTCAACTCAAGGTCGATGACAAGGTCTTCGCATCCTCATTCGCGGGAGATGGTCTCGACATCAACCAGATGCAGTCCGCCGCCGGCACTGAAGTATTCTTCGCACCGAACTTCCACCCTGGCCAAGGAAATTTCGGCAACATCCAGGGGGCATTGAATTGGATGGCCTGGGATAACAACGGCGATAACAAGGCACCAAGCGCTGGTCGCAACGTGACTGTTGCTGATGGCGATAAAGCATACGTCAATGCTCTGAATGGAAAGCCTTACATTGCCCGTAAGTATCCCTCTGTGTTGTCGATGTGTTGAATCAGTCTTGCTAATATTGTACAGCTGCTTCTGGATGGTTCTTTACGCACTTCGGTGGTGAGGTGCCCTACAGCAAGAACTGGGCGTTCCCCTCGGATCTGTTGTGGTACAACCGCTGGTTCGAGATTCTGAACCTTGCACCTCGGTTTGTGGAAATTGTTACCTGGAATGACTACGGCGAGTCACACTACATCGCACCGCTGGCCTCTCCACACACCGATGATGGCGCATCCAAATGGGTCATGGACATGTAAGTCTCACGCCGTCTTCACAGCCAGCAAGACAATACTGACCAGCGATTCAGGCCCCACGATGGTTGGCTCCAGATGTCGAAGCCCTTCATCGCTGCATACAAGAACGGCGAAAAGTCTCCCGACAAGTACATCACCGAAGAGAAGTTGATCTACTGGTACCGGCCGACTCCAAGGAACATCAACTGCGACAGCACCGATACTACCATGGACGGCAGTCCCAACAACTCCTCTGGTAACTTCTTCCGCGGACGCCCGAACGGATGGGAGTCCCTGCAGGATTCAGTCTTCGTTGTCTCCTTGCTCAAGTCTCCCGGTACGATCCAAGTGGCTTCGGGGCAGAACAGCCAGAAGTT